ATTCATTTGTTTAATGGAATATTTTTAGTTCGTCTTCCTTTATTGAATTTCCAGTAGCTTGAGACAGTGGGTTTAATAAAAAGCATTAGTTCAAAGGAAGAACAGGAAACCAAAGCAAGCAGAATATTATGTTATTAACAGAAACATTTATTTTAGGGCTGAAAAAGTAATAGCTATTAATTGATTATTGAAATAATTGTCAACTAATTTAGTATTCAGTTATTGGTGAACTGGAGTAGAGACTCTAAAATATGCCTTTAGATGACCTTTAGTGACCCACTTAGAGCAGGAACTATACCAAAACTGTAAAAAGAGATGTAAACATTTTGCATTTGGGACAAAAAACTTTTCGTCTGTCAATATGCTCTGTCCAGATCTCCTCAAGTGGTTTAATTTTTATAAAAATCTTTAAGTAACCTTTGTCTATCGGATTAATAATTAATTGAAAAAAAAATTCGACAGAGTAATCGTTCATTTTTTATTTATTTAGTTAAGACTGGGACATTTATCCACATATTTAATACAATAAAAATAAATGTTTTAAATAATTTAAATAGAAATGAGGAAAAAGAATAACTATTTTGTAAACAAGTTAAAATAAATAGGTGATTAAAATAATCCCTTATTAGTGTTTTTCTCTTATTCTATTCATGTAGTAAAAATTGATCTAGCTAATCTCCTTTATTGGCTCTATATATTTAAAAGTGTTCTTAGTTGTTTGTGTTTTTGTCTGATTTATTCTCCTGAACAAAAATCCCAGACGTCCAAATCAACATCAAGCGATGCCTGAGTGACGGATGCGACACGCGCATCCACGGGTTGAAGACGCTGGGTTACCAGATCACCAAGAGCAAAGAGGTGTCCGTGTCGGACGCCTCGGCCATCTGGTACCTGTCTCTGCTCACCTCTTTGGTCACCGCGTCCATGGATACCAACCCCGCCCTGGCTCAAACCGTGCTCCAAATCACACAGTAAGATCCCTGGAGGCTGCAGCGCCGCGCAGCGCTTAGCTTGTCGCTTCTTTTTTTTTTTTTGGCGATGCCAAAGATGAGGTTTTTTTTGCTTTACAGGAAAGCCTTGCAGCACATGCCTCCACTGTCGCTGACGCCATCCTCCACTGAGTTCCCCAAGTTCTTCTCCCTAAACATACTGGAGGAGGTGGACGGCTTTCTCCTCCGGATCGCAAAGTAAGCTGCTGTTTGTTTTATTGCACTTCTTTCTATTGCCTGATGACGTCACTCAGTTTTTCCTGTCTTTTGTCCAGCTGCTGCGTGAGCCCCGACGCAGAGATGACTCTCTTGGCTTTCGCTCTGGCCAGAGGCAGTGTGGCCAAAATCCTCCAGGCCCTGTCCTGCATCAGCGATCATCTCCAGATCAAGTACAAGGCCTCATCCGTCATCCTCTCCATGGCTTCTGTTAGGCTCCGGTTGCTTTACTGTAACGGTAATTCGACTCATCCATCATCTCTCTGACTCTGATGACTAGAAGGTCACTTGTTGAACCGTATGGCGATTGTTTGCAGGGAAGCCGCTCCAGCTGCACCTGCAAGCCTGTGACGTCAAAAGTAAAGAGGAGAAGTCAGGCCCAGAGAACATGCTTAGCGATTCTTCTACCGGAGATGGTAGCGGCCAGCTGCAATCGACCTCTAAATGAAGGATGTTTGAGCGTGTGGTCAGCTCTTTGCTTTTTCTCCAGGTTTTCTCACAGAAAGCGGCAGGAAGAAAGCCAGCGTGATCCTTTCCACGGAGGACCAGAGCAACTTCCAGGTCACTCAGATGAAGATCAAAGTAAGATGGTGTCATCAGGAGATGAGTGAAAACGTGCGCCGTGGTGGAGGACCATGTAGATTATCACTGAAGTCGCTGCTCATGTGTGCAGGTGCGGAAAGGAGCCATTGGGGCCAAGTGTGGCTTGGTGTTCGCCTACATGGAGGACGACTCCTTTGATGCAGAGAAACATTTCAAGAGGTTCAAAAAGTACGACTCGTGGAACTACAAGGACTACAAGGAGTTTGTACAGGACAGGTATGGTTCCCTTCGTTGAACTTCAGCGTTTAAAGAAGGGCTTGAGGCTTTTCATATTTAGTGTTTTTAGTTAATTAAGTGAAATGTTTTTTTTTCCCTCTGATATTCTAACACCAACAATTCTTACTTACACACTTCTAATAAAAACATCTTTAAAATGAGCAAAATAAAACAACTGATTATAGATCAAATTTGATGCACAAGTACCATAAACTGTGTGATAACGAGCAAAAGGTCATCATTTAAAAAGTTACAATGTTTAAAATTGTGAAAGACCACATCATAAAAATCTTTGTTAAATAACGTTAGTAAACAGAGAACCTGGCCGTGGAAAAGTTTATAGCGTTTCTTTTTTTCTCCCATAGTGGATGATGGCTTCAACTCTGATTTACTGACATACATTAGTTTTAGCAAATGGCCAACAGATGCCTCACTTATAGTTCTAAAAGGCTTTATTTTCTGTAGTTTGATTGGATTGGTTTGTGAAATTAAACTGCTTTCCAAAAAAAAAAGGTTAAACCTTAGTAGATATTCATTATTTAACAAGGAATCAATTTATTTCATTTAATTAATTAAATGGTAATTTAAATAAATGCTTGTTGGTTTTAATTTGGTTATCTTTATCCGATATAAAACTTGTTGAATTTTCTAGAGGAATTAAAATTGAAAAAGAAAGAAACTCAAACAGGAAATCAGAATGTGGTCCATTTAGACCTTTGGGAGGTCTGTGTGGTTTATTACCTTTGCCTGACCTGCAGTGGGAGGATTTCAGCGCAGAGTGAGGATGAGCCGATCGGCTGGTTTGAGCTGGAAGAGGACTGGAATGATGTGGAGATCAAGCTGCAGCAGTGCCGCGTCGCCAAGGTACCGACCTGTCTGTTCCCTGATATCATTCCTTTCTTCGATGTTCAGCTCTTTGTATTTCTAAACCCATTCTGCTTATATCTGTCTTTTTAGTTCCTGATGGTGAAATTCCTCTGCACCAGGCAGGACTCAGCCGAGCGGCTCGGTGTGCAGAACCTCAGCTTCAGTGGCTACCTTTGCCCCGGAACAGAGAGGCTGGTTGACCTGGACGACCTCAGCAGCCAGGGGGAGAGTCTGGATCATGATGGTGTCTCTGGCCTTTGTCTATTAAACAAGACACTTTTCTTCATACAGCAGCTCACACGAGACACGGTAAGGGGGCACCGCTCGGCTGTGTTGCTGGCATCATCCAGTTTTAGCGTCCCGTTTTCCTCTGAATAACCGTGGTGGTCTTCCTGGAAGCCTGGATTTCTATTTATGGGGGGCTCCTTCTAAGAGATAAAGTTGGAGGAATAATGGAAGGAAATCAGTAAAGAATCTAGAACTTAAACAACACTAAAGAAAAACTATAAACAGCATTGTTTTCTAACAATACAAAAAAAAAAGAACTAAGGAAGGATGTAGAGGAGAAAGGAAGGTAGTAAAAAGTAGATTAAAATAAGGAAGAAGGGCAGGGAGGGAGGAAGGAAGGAAGGTAAGGGAGAAGGGGCAAGTAAATGAAGGAAGGAAGGAAGGAAGGAAGAGAGGAAGAATGTACAGGAGAAAGGAAGGTAGTAGAAAGTAAATGAATCAAAGGAAGGAAGACAGGGAGGAAATAACGAAGGAAGGTAAGGGAGAAGGGGCAAGTATATGAAGGAAGGAAGGAACTAAGAAAGGATGCAGAGAAGGAAGGAAGGTAGTAAATAGTAGATGAAAAGAAGGAAGGAGGACAGGGAGGGAGGGAGGAAGGAACTAAGAAAGGATGCAGAGAAGGAAGGAAGGTAGTAAATAGTAGATGAAAAGAAGGAAGGAGGACAGGGAGGGAGGGAGGAAGGAACTAAGAAAGGATGTAGAGGACAAAGGAAGGTAGTAGAGAATAGATGAAACAAAGTAAGGACAGGGAGGAAATAAGGAAGGAAGGAAACGGTGAAGGGGTAAGTAAATATATAAAAAAAGGAAGGAAGGAACCAAATGTCATTTTTATTAAGGCTGAATGTTTTGCATGTTTTGTCACCCAGAACACCCGATATTAGTCATGCTGCCCTCTGGTGGCCATAAGTAGGGATTGCAGATTTTACAGCTTGATTGGCTCCCAGTAACCACCTACACTTTTTTCTGCAGGATGCCTCACACTTCAAGCAGAAGTATCTTCTGGACTTCGGTGGTCTCAGCCTTAACCTTTTCTGGAACTTCTACAATAAACTCAGGGAGATGTGAGTGATGATCTGTTAACAGCAGACATGTAGCAGCAGCAGATTTTGGGGGTTTATTTTCTGAATTCCAACTTTTTGTCAGATGTGTCAAAACACACATTTGAATTTATTAACATTCACAGAATATTTAAAAATGATTTTGTAAGACAAGCTAAAAGAATCTAAGGTCGCACCTGTTTTGTGGAAGTTTGTGTTGGTCTTTACTGTTAAATCATACTTTCATTTATTAGAGCCACACAAGAGGCTTAAGTGCAAACCCACGTTATGTGTATCCAAAAAAAGGAAAACCATTTAGACCTGATAGAATAAGGTAATATGCACCAAGCATTCGTCATGATCATGTTTAGATCGTTCTTTTCTGGGCCTAAATAGAATTCCACCACTGGGTGCAATCAGCAAACATAAACAGATTTTCACCCTCTGCTGGCAGAACTAATCAGAAAGCCAGAGGGTGACAATGATGGCAACTACATAATAGAGACCTGGCAGTGGTTGTAGAGCAGCCCCTCCTTTACAAGCAAAGTCTGTGGTTGGGTCGCGTCAAAAGGTCCTTCAGCGAGTTATGAATAGGAGGAACAGCGCGTTATCAGCATTTATGCATCTGAGGTGCTTCACAAGAGTTGGAAAATCTGAACTTTTGCTGCTCAATGTGCCGCAAACTGAACGCCTCTTAAGTATCTGGTGAATCCAGACATCGGTATTGTCTGGCTTTTTTTTTAGTATATAAAGTAAAGCCATTTTCATTTTATCATCAAAGATGATGCTGCAGACTCGTCTTTGCTTTTCAAAGTTAGTTTGGTTTCATTCAAGAATAAGTTCTAGTATATCGTCCCCAGAGCCCTACAAAAATTAGTTTTTATAAAACACACAGGGACACGACATTAAGGGAGAACCAACTAACCAATAAACCTAATAACTAACCAACTACAGTAACTAACCAATCGACCAAATAAATATCCAATCAACCAACCAAATAAATATCCAATAAACCAACCACATAACTAACCAATCAACCAACCAAATAACTAACCAATCAACCAACCAAATATCCAATCAACAACCAAACAGCTAACAAATCAACCAGCTAACTAACTAAACAAATAACTAAACAACTAACCAAATAACTAGCCAACTAAATAACTAGCCAACCAAAAACTAACAAAATAATCAACCAACCAAATAGCCAACCAACTAACCAAATAACTAACCAATGAACCAACCAAATAACTAACCAATGAACCAACCAAATAACTAACCAATCAAACAACCAAATATCCAATCAACAACCAAATAGCTAAATAATCAACCAGCCAACTAACTAAACAAATAACTAACCAAATAACTAGCCAACCAAAAACTAACCAAATAATCAACCAACCAAATAACCAACTAACTAACTAACTAATTAACCAACCAACAAAATAACGAACGGACGAACCGAATAACTAATTAAATAACCAATCAAACAACCAACCAAAAAAATAACTAACCAAACAACTCAACCAAATAGCCAATCAGCCAACCAAATAACCAACCAGTGAACAAATTAACCAACCAACCAAATAACTAACCAACCAAATAACCAATCAACTAACCAACCAACCAACCAAATAACTAACCAACTTACCAAACAACTCAACCAAATAACTAATTCACCAACCAGCCAAGTATTTGTGTGGTATCCCAGAGTGTTGTAACTCTTTAATAATTGTAAATCTGCATGAAGAACTTTATTTATTACTGAATTAAGCAAAAACACACAGAAAAACAACAACAGCTTGAAGGACACTGTAATATTTAAGAAAAAAACATCGTATGCAACCAGCGGGAATTACTGGAGTATAAATAAGTAAAAAGCAAGTCAATTTGTGACCCTTTTATCCACGTGGCTGCAGCTGATCCAACTGATTTCATATCAGGAGAGGAGAGCTGTACCTGGAATTCACAGAGCAAATGTGCAACTATTATACCTTCTGCTCTCAGGATTTTTAAGGCTCCTCTGGACTCCTTGGAGCTCCTGTAGGCTTTGCTGGCAGTGGAGTCACATCATCTAAATTAGAAGTTACAGCTCTCCAGCTAAAGGAAGCTTCTCTATTATTTCAGCAAATACAAAATGAACAGGTGAATCGTTTTATTGCCGACTGGTTTGGTTAGCTTAGCAAAGCTAACAGCGGTCCTTAACAACTAGAATCTGATAACGACTGTGTCTGCTGAAATAAACTATCAACCTCTCCTAATCCGACACATAATAAAGAATAAGTCAGAGCTGATCTATCTCTAATGGACCCAGTTAGAGGAACTCTGCAGACATGCTTGTGATAGAACATGCTCAGTGATTTTCTCTGTTTCAGTGAAGGAGAGGAGGTGTTGAAAAGCAGAGTTCTCCTGCTTCAGTTGATGCAGAACTGTTTCCCCATGCTGCCAAACCCCACGGAGCCCCAGGACACAGAGGGGAGTAAAGACCCAGAGGAAGGAGCCTCTGCAGAAGCAGGTCCATCAGTGTTTAGCAGCAGGGATCCTCCGGGTCTCTCTGAGGCCGTATCAGAGCTCTACGCTCACCTCTGTCACAGTAAGGACCTGCAGACCTTTCATCTTTCATTAGTAGAACATGCTGTTCTCCGGTGTTTGTCATAAAAGAGATAAATCGGTGTAAAGTGAGGCATGATTCTTGTGTTGCAGTTGTCGACGGTCCAGAGGGAGAGACGACAATGGAGAAGATTTTACACAAAGAAGCGGTTAAGGCCATTCTGAATGGAGCTGCCGTTTTCTTCCCCGATAAACTCAACAGGCGGGATAAACTCTTTCACATGATGGTGAGGTTAACGCCTCATCTCTCCGTATTTCAAATGCAGACGTGGACAATTCTGATTCTATTTAAACAATAGAATCTGATAGGAATTCATAAATATTTGATCCATTTTCATGTATTTTTATGATTTTGCTGATCTGCATAATTAATTTACTAATCCTGATTTTAATCTGCTGTTTTGTAGAAAAATATAAGTGAGGACGATCAGCCAGAGTCTGTGAAGGTGACATTTGAATCTCTTTGTAATTATTTCAGGTAAATATCTAAAATCACTCATGTCTATTTTGTTTCCACATCAGTAGCGACAGACCAGTAATAGATGTTTTTTTTCTTCTCCCAGTAACCAGGATCCCAGCGGCCTTCTGCTGCTGCCGCCCAAAGGAGCTCCTTCAGACTTCGACATCAGCCCCATACTGTTAGTCATGGAGACGCTGCTGCTTGTCGCCTCCAGAGAGGTGATCTGTCACTCTTTGCTTTTAGTTCTCAAAGTGCTGGAGCCTTGAATGAAACTTTTCCCATCAAACTTTCTGCCCATCTATCAGTGTGAGGTTCTGATGGTGGATGGAAGGACTGGAGCCAGCAGGACAGTGCTGCTGTCCTTGTTCTGGGCGCTGCAGGGCAGCTTGCTCTCCTGGTGCTACCTGCAGCTCAACAGTGGAACCTCCACGGCTGCTGCTTCTGAGCTGGCCAGAGACATCCTCCTAAAATGTGAGCCACAACAACAATTAATCTTTTATCTTTTCTCTTGTTAAAGCCAAAAACTTCTATTTATTTTTGTGGCTTTTATGTGATGGTCTGAAGTAAGAAGTACTGAGAAAATACTTAACGGATCATTAACGGATCATTTGTCTAAGGGACAACACTTAGTACGACTGCTTGATCCTTAAAGTCATAGGGAAATCATATTTAAATTTCAAATCATTCTGGCTTAAACATGTATATAAATGTACTCTTTATCAGACCATATTGGTCCAAAAGTTGGAAATTTCTATTTAAAAAAAATGTCTTAAAATCTGTGGGATTTTTTTTCTTTATCTTATGCAGGCCAGTTAGTTATACGTCAGCCTGAACGCCTAAATTTGGCCAATCATATATAAACAGTCATCTGTCAATAATTTTTTCGGTCATAATATCTTGATTCAGATGTTGCAGCTAATATACGCAACGGTTGAAATAAGAAATAAAAATAATTTCCTTTCCCATTGAGTTCCGTCCCAGTGTTCACGGGGATGGACGTCTGTGTCTTCGGCAGGCATAGAGCTAACAGAACTGGCAGCGTTGCGAGGCAAGGGCTCAAACATGTACGGCCAAACCAAGCTTCTGCCGCCCTGGCGTCCTCTTCCACAACATCTTCGTCCCCAGTTTGCTCCTCTTATTAAAAAATGTATGATGGAGGAGACTCAACCACGACCCCAAACACAAAACTCTCCTCCTCTTGCATGTTTCCTCTGTCCATAGCGTTCCTTGACAGTGTTGTTTCTAAGTCACCAATTTAGTGCTACTTGGTCCCAATGGAATTTCCCATTGGGAACCTACTAGCACTAAGTTGCTAACTGGTTGGCAAGATGATTCCGGGAAAACGGCCACAACCAAAAAGGCTTGCGAATTTTCTGTCAAAACAATCCCGCACCCTTGATAAATGACCAATCACATTCAATTTAATCACTTGTATAAAGTCGGGCACCACTCGGGAGAATTCAGAACTGCAACGGTTGGACTTTAAAGGTATAGTGGAGGATTTTCGCGAATTTTTGAAAAGACCTATCCTCTCTATATTAAGAATTAAAAAATGCACATGGACAGCCCTGTACCCACTTTTACTGTCTGATGCAGCAGAAATATTTGCGCAACTGTGAGAGCCGTCGATGCAGCCCAAAGTCTTTCACTGCTGCTCCTTTACCTGATAAAATCAGTTGTTTTTTTCTAAACATCATTCTCATGGAGGACAGTGTAAATGTACGCTGCTTTACCTGCTGTCTGTTTCTTCTGCGGTATGCCTCAATGACTCGTCATCATGTGCTTTTATATAAATATCCTGTTTTATATAAATATCCTGTCCCTTAATTTTGATGTGCCGATCAATCGGCACACCACTAATGTACAGCAAGAGTCAAATTCATGATGTTTCCTTTCAGAAAAATTTAAATTGCTGAATGTGTTTCTCTAGATGTGGATCAATTCCTTGGAAGTATCAGTGCTGTGCTGGGTTCCCTTCTTGAAAGGTTCACCAGCAGTGAAATTACAGACAAACTGGGCAGCTCCATCCTGGCCACAGTCTTCAGACAGATGGTAATACATCCTCCTATCTGCACCGTGAACACAATTCAGAACGGAATGTTTGGCTAACGCTCGCTCTGCTCCCGGCAGATGATTTTCCTCCTGGAGCTGTGTTTTTTGGACATCCCTCACAGTGTGCTGCTGAAGAGCTTCTCCTCGCTGGTGGAGCTCATCAAAAAACTGTCGAGTGACACGGGAGACATCTTCTCTAAGGTCAGTTGATTTTAGCCAAAGGTGCAGTCTTCGGTTATGTTATGAAACTTTTTCACCATAACTGAAACACGCAGGTGGATCAAGAAAGCTCGCACCAGCCCCAGAAGCCGGTGGTGCTCAGGACCTGGAACATGGAGTCCCCTCACAACTACGAGAACAGCCGACATGAGACCACCGTCTTCGCTTGTCCCGGTGCAACCTCGTTCGAGGTGGAGTTTGACGAACGCTGTGAGACAGAGAAGAGGTCACCGACACACTGCAGCAACTTCCTCTGTTTGCATTAGATAACTCTTAATGAGGATTCTAACTCAGCTTGGTCTTTACAGATATGACTATCTAGAATTCACCGACTCCAGAGGCGGGAAGGTGCGCTACGATATGAAGGTTGGAAGTGAAAAATGGCCAAAGGTAGGAGACCCTTAGCCAAGCAGCGATCCACACATAGAAAGCAGCTTAGCTTGTTTTTCCAACCCGCCCATCTCTCTGCTCCTGCAGAAGGTGACGTTCGACACTGGCCCTCAGCTGCAGTTCTTGTTCCACTCCGATAGCAGCAATAATGAGTGGGGTTACAAGTTCACTGTGACGGCGCTGGGTCTGCCAGATATCACCATTTCCTGGATGTCAGACCTGCAGCTGCTGGTGGCTCGTCTCATGGGTCGCCTGGCATCCAGAACCCTGGCGCTGAAATCCCCCCACGGTGAGCCTAAGAGAAACACAGTAGTGGTTTAAATTTTAAATCCAGCTCCAAACTGAGATATTTTTTAACTTTATTTAATTTGTTGAATATTTTTCTTGTTTTTGAGCTTTATGTCGACCTTTTAGATGTAAATTCAGTTAGATTGGTGGGTTTCTCTGTTCTCCAGAGATCCGCAGTGTGAAGGAGCTTCCTCCAGGAAAGATGTTACACGTTCAGGCTTCACCTTTATGGAAGCCCATCCTGCGACACGGCTTGTGTGAAACACGGGACAGGAACACGGCGAGAACAGCCCCTGAGCAGGTACAGACTAACGGATGTCAACAAATAATGGACTAATGATCAATTGGGGATTAAAATTGGTTACGATTACTTGATAATGTCTGCTTAAAAGGGATTTCTTTTAGATTTCAAGTGTGTCGTGGAATAATAGTATTCAGCTATTTACTCCGGTCAGATTTGATTTACAACATAATTCCTAATTTAACCCTGGCTATTTTCTCCGAGTCCATCAGTCAGAGAAACGACTGTGTGTGACCAGAGGCTCTGCAAGAGGAGAGTTATTCCTCTGAGGAAGAGCAGCTTTAGTCGGTCGGTCTGTTAGAGGCAAAGGGGAGGAAATCAGAGGCATAACTTATAAGGTGTTCACTAAACATTTGAAAAAAATGACACTATAACTACATCTGCATATTTATGCTGTATTGATTGTTTCTGTTTTCTTTGCTGCAGTGTTTTGTTTTGTTGTCTTTGTTTCTATTTAATCTCATGTCTTGACTATCTGTACTTTTTTAAGACGTCATGTTGTATTTGTTATTAAATTGCGCTTTCCCGTTCAAATACATGAATCAAATCAAATATACCAAAAGTGGAGCAGATGAGTACACCCCCTACTGTCCAGGATGAATAATCACCTTTAAAGCCCCTTTCCTTCCAATGTTGCTGGAAAAATATTTGTTTTTTCTGTTTGCTTCACCATCATCTTAAAATATTGGATGTTAGGGTTAAACAATAATAACCCCTTATTGTCCTACAAATCAACCAACACAAGACACAACACGAGTTACTTTTCTGCAGACGAGGAGAGAGGACACAGACATACTCCCTGAAATGTCTGTGGTCAACCCTGCTGGGACTTCTCTGCTCCCTGCCGTTATTATCAGACTTCAAAGGAGTAGCAGGAGGGGTCAGAAGTTTACACATTCAAAAAGGGGGTGCAGGTTTATTGCCGTGGTTATCAATCATCTGCAACAGCATATCTGGATGAGATCAGGCCCTTCCTGGAAGAAACATTTGCTCTTCCCGATCAAGTTAAAACAACACATCATTCCTAGAAGGCCAAATGCCTGAAACTTAGTTCAGATAAAATGATGACATTTGCATTTTTCTAACAATGACTTATGTTCAGGTAAACCCTAAAACCCTGTGAAATCCCATAATTAAAAAGGACACATTTTTCCATGATTGGTTTGTGTTTTTGACCCTTCATTGTAAAACCCTCCCTGTTCTTTTTTTTTTTTATTGGGATTTGTAGTCGGACGCATCAAGTTCAGATGAGATGTTGTTCTTCCTGGAGGACTTTGCCCGTTGGAACCCTTCACAGGAACCATCAGACCACAAAGCAGAGCTAATGCGGACCCTCGTGCAGGCTTGCAGAAAGCACCCAATGAGCAGTGAGATTGTGGCGGGATCAAAGGTGGACCAGGCTGTGAACGCCATCTGGGCGGCCATGGTTTACCACACGCCGGCCCTCAACCAGGCGCTGAAGTCATACGGTAATGCTAGCTGGGAATCGTCCGTCACACTCAGGGGGAATAGGTTGGGATCCCATCCTTCCACCTGTCTGATCTGTCGTTCTTCTCTCTTCCTGCCAATAGTTAATCAAGATTGCAAGTCCTTTCTGTGTGAAGAATTTGTGCAGGTTTACCTTCTGGCTGACAGCATCAGAACCTGGATGGTGAGGAAAACTCCAAGGATTTATGTCTGTAGCAGATCTACTCTCCTGATTTCCCTTTACTAAAGCTTTTTATTTCCCTCTCAGCTGGAGATGAAGCAGCGATACCTGGTCGGCAAAATGAACACATATGATGATAAAGAAGGCAGTCAGGAAGAGGTTACCATAGACTCGCTGGGTAATGATCCAGATAATTAGATTCTGAGGCTCCGCCCCCTACTGAATGTTTGCTCACTGATTGATTGTCTTTTCTGTCAGCTGAGATGTGCATCGAGAAGAGCCTCTTGCTGTTTCGCTTTGCCCCGTGTGGAAGATCCTGTCAGGGTGGCGAGCCGTCTAAAGCGCCAGAGGGCAGCGTCTCTCCGCTGCTCCGCTCCAAATCCGTGTCAGAAGGAGACTTCCAGCCCAGCACCTCACTGGGTCCGCAGCCGGGCCTACCTGACGACGCCAGGCAGGGACAGAGCCAGCCGAACCCTGAGAACCACAGGGGAGGCCATGGCGAGCTCTCAGAGGGTCTCCTCTCCCAGCCCAAGGAGCCGGCCTCCCCTTCCACTTTCCCCCGTAAAGCGCCGTTCAGTCGCTCTCGCCTTCGCCTGCTCTCCTGCCGCTCCCTTGAGGATTCCAACATTGTGCCCTCTGTCAAAGAGCGCTACCCGATCCTGAAACACATCCTGAACTTCATGAAGGATCAGGCTCTCACTACAGCAAGGTGAACATTGAATCGTTTAAAATACCTCACTTCTTTTTAGATTTACTTCGCCACATTAAGAGCAACAGTTTTTCCCAGTTATTTCTAAATCGATTGATAACCCCTAAAGTTTCTAACTTGTAATAGAAAACAACATCAGAATGTGTTTGTATTATAACTGTACCTATTTCGATTTAAAAAAAAATCTTTTGGATATTCTGGGAATTTAGAGGGAAAACTGCCCCAAATAATAAGCTCTCCTCTCGGCAGCATCCTCCACACCCTGGCCCTGAACACAGCGCAGGCCCTGAGTGTGTGCAAGGTGCTGGAGACGATTCAGCAGTGTCTGCGTTCTCTGGGGCAGCCGCACCTCTTCCAGCCTCCCTGCATCCTGTTCCTGCAGGAGCTGCTGGCGTGTCAGAAGGACTTCACCAGGTAGATCCCAACCCATACGTGTGAACATCTGGGCCTGATTTCAGACCCTCATCCATCCCTTTTCTGTCTTCAGTTATTTCTCTCAGTTATCGGACAGCGGGGAGAAACTGGGAGAGGAGGTCAGACGCTCTTACCACCAGCTGGTTCTCATGCTGGTGGAGGCCATGCAGGCTTTCAACGATCTCAACGAGAAGTGAGATGTTCCTCTTTAATTATATGCCAGTTTTTAACCAGATTTTAATTTTTAAAAGCAAGACCTGCAGTGATTAGCAGTGATTAGCAGTGCTTAGTGTGCGGTAGGCTGACTGAGACTTCTCTCCCCAGAGCTCTGCTCCCAGCCCTGTCGTGTGTGCAGAGCTGCTTTCTGCACCTCCTAGACATGAACTGGGAGGTGCAGGACCTGCCTCTCTTCCTGAGCATAAAGCTTCCAGACCTCCTTTTCGCCATGTCCCAGGAGAACATCAGCGTTCACGACATCGCCATCAGGTAATCTAAGGCAGTCTGATGACATCATTCTTGAACAGGGAGAACAGGAAGTAAAGATGAGCACTAATAAAAAACCAATTAGCTAGAAGAAATGAATCCTAAAACACAAAAGAATTATAAGTAGGAATTTTTATCTTTGATTTGCCACATTTAGACCTTTGACTCGAACTAATGGATCATTTGGCTTTTAATATGTTGATAGATTATTTTCTCTGAATTTTGGCCCTTAGACCCTCCTGGATCAAGATTTTATCACGACCCTGTTCTATGTAAACCGTTGTAGGTACCAGATCTGCTCGGGCCCTGTGCATGCCAGTGACGTCACACTACATGATTGGCTGAACGTTGCCACATGATGTAAAACATTGTGGTTGCCTAAACAACGATAATAACATCACGCAGCGTCAGTGTGCTTAGTCTGGAGTATCTGTACACTGGAAAAAAATCGAAATCTAGATGTCATTTTTTCTTAAAATAACTGAATTTCTCTTGGATTGAGGAGGTAAAAGAGACATTTTGCCAATGGAACAAGACAAATTACAATTAAAATAAGAAAAAACAATTGCATTGTCTTATTTCAAGTGCATATTATCTAATTATCTTATTTTAAGAGTAATAATCCTTATTCCATTAGCAAACTTTCTCATTTACCTACTCAAATTAAGGGTAAATACATTTAATTTTGGACATTTTTACTTATTTCTAGATCGTTTTTCCAGTGTAGCGTTAGCGTGTCTAGTGACCGATGAAGTTTTACCTGATCGACAACAAAACTAAAAAAAATCTGTTTATGGTGAACAAAGTAACTGCAAGACTGTGGTATAAAGGGGGGGGAGCTAACAGATTAGCCTCTTTTAGCTCGGTCAGTTAGCCATATTAAGCTACGCTACTTTTAGCTTCCTGTCAACAACAACTGTTCGTTTTCTACAAGTACAATAACTGTTTTATTTGTCTAAAATCTATATGAAAGTCATTTTTAGGATGTTCCATTTGTCCTTCCCTGCACTCAGATCTTAATAAAAAGAATAAAAATAAGCTGAGACTTTTTTGTGACCTTGTTAAATGGCAGAGCTCAATCTGCACTGGAAAAAAAATCTAAATCTAGATGACCCAGATTTCTGACTTTTTTCTCAGAATTGTGTCTTTTTATATTGTCAGAATTCAGTCAGAATTCTGAGAAAAAAGTCAGAATTCTGAGATTCCCATGTTAAACTGAAATAACATTTTAAAATCAGTTAAACCTTTTTTTTTTCAGTGGCCCTAATCCTCTTCCGTACAATACAGTTTGTTCCATTGGAGTTGCCATATGCTGACATCATAAGAACGAGCAGATCTGGTACCTACTCCGGGACCAACTTGGACACTCAATACAGCGTCAAAATATAATGATTTTTGGGGTATTTCCTAATAGAATAACAGTATTACGAAGCAGTGAAAGCTGTATGTAGTGAAGGACAATCAGGTTCAGACACTTCCAAGCATTGCAGATATGAATTATGATAGTTAAATCTTTGGGGAGCAGATTTCATTTATTGGTTTAAAACCTGCTGTGAAATGTGGAAGAATATGTCAGAATCCTACGTTTTACTGTTGTTATCTAGATAAATGGGCATAAATGTGGATGGACCACTTGGTGTCTGATTTGATCTGTTTATTTATGACATCTGATGAGTTAATTTTTGTTTTTAAAATCCCCCGTCAGTCAGTGGACAGAGGAGGACGAAATCGCAGACTACAAGAAGAACCAGGAATGGATGGATGAGTGTATGGATGGCATGTTTGAAAAGTGGTACGACAAGATCGATGAAGAGGACTCCATGGAGGACAGGAGGAAGGTATTTTAAAGCCAGCTGAATTGAAAGGAGCAGTCTGCGATCACGGGAGACTTTTTTTCCCTTTGAATTCTGTTCTCCAGTGTTTGCGTTAAAATAATTTTGTCCCTCAGATGCACATGTTCATCGCCCGCTACTGTGACCTACTGAATGTGGTGATCTCCTGTGATGGCTGTGAGAGGATGGCTCCCTGGCATCGTTATAGATGTCTGCAGTGCATGGATATGGACCTCTGCAAGACCTGCTTTCTCAGTGAGCCCCTGCACCCAAACGCAGCTACGATGCTACATTTAGTAAATGTGGTCCTGTGTATTAAAATATACAGGGATTGATGGTGAAATGAGTCGAGGATAGACGCAGGATTGAAATCAACTCAGAAAAATGTGGATAAATAAAAAATATTGTATTATAGTTGTGATATTTTAGCATTTCTGATTCTGGAGGCATAATGAAACCTTGAATGTGCTGCAACCAGGTGGAGCCAAGCCTGAGGGCCACGAGGATGATCATGAAATGGTCAACATGGAGTACGCCTGTGATCACTGCCAGGGCCTGATTGTTGGCAGCAGGATAAACTGTAACGTCTGTGAGGACTTTGACTTGTGCTTCGGTTGCTACAATGCAAAGAAATATCCTGACAGGTAGCTGGTTAAAATCCCTCCTAAAGATGCTTCAGTTTTACTTCTCGTTGCCGTTTTTCATTCTTTTTTCCTCTGATTTTTAGCCACTTGCCCACCCATCGCATCACCGTGTATCCTATGGTGACCATACGGATCAGCGACCGCCACCGCCTCATCCAGCCTTACATCCACAACTACTCCTGGCTCCTGTTTTCCGCTTTGTCTCTGTATACGTCTGAGCTGAGCAGTGAGAGGCAAGTGGAGGGAGAATGTTTGGACGGCAAAGCCCTGGAACTGGCTTCAACGCTGCAGACTCAATGCTCCCAACTTATCACCGACTGCCTGCTCAAAGGTCAGACGGGCAAAGGTACAGACAGTAAGCTTTATTATTTTGTTCTATACTTGTTCTGCATGCCTGGACCACCAGAAGGCAATGGTTTGTCTGCAACATTTGTTTTAAGGGAGCACTCCGGGCGTGTGTTTCCCCAGTGAAGGAATAAAGTGACGCTTTTGCATCTGAGTGAAAAGTGGAGTTATGTGACTAACAGTTGGCGACATCTAGTGGTCAGATTGGAGAACACATGGCAACCTCCAGCAACAACTTTCTTGATTTCAGTGAAATCTGGACAGAAACATTAAAAGAACCTAAGGAGGGAAAAATAGGATAAAAAGAGAACAGGGAAATCTTTGGAAGGACAAAAAGAAGAAGAACAGGAGAAAATAAAGTGAGGGCAGAAGTAAGGATTTAAAGAATACAAGAATAAGAGGATCAGAAAGAAAGGAGGTGGAGGAAATGGTTTAGAGGGAAGGAAGGATTAAAGAAATGAGAGAATAAAAGAAAGATGAAGGGAATCAGAGGGACGGGGAGAATGGAAGGAGTGGAATATGGATTAAAGAGAGGATAGAGAGATGGGGCTATGTTGGCTATCAGCGTTTAGTAACAGCTTTTCACACCAAGAGCATTTCTCTAAAGAATCATCATCACATTTCTCAGCAAAAGCGAATGTTTATTTTCTCCCTCTGTCCCATGCTAAGGCCTCCGCTCCTCCAACTTGCTTGCTCTGCTGTCCTCTAATGAATCGGTGTCAGAGAGCGAGCTGGGTCCGGCATCTCCTCAGACCTCCCAGGAGCTGAGTTCAGCCACAGACGCCTCCTCGCTTCCAGGCAGCACCGCAGCAGTCTGCTCTCCCTCGTCTCCTAAGGAAAAGGTCAGGAATAACCAGACAGCGTGCAGCCATATGAAGATTAAAACACAGTGTAGTTTGTTAATCTTATCGTTTTTTTTTCATCCCCAGCTAAAGGACAAAACTGCAGAGGAGCTGAGTATTCCTCCTGACCTACCCATGCAACCAGATGGAGATAAAAAGCAGCTGGTTGCTCAGGACACCCTAGACTCAGGTATTGTCCGCCAGACTCCCTAGATGGCCTGGGAAGGGCTCCTCGCTGCACAGTTTGTTCATTAATCCCTCTTTATATTTTTCTTACTAGGCCGATTTTGTCAAAAATCATAATTGTGATTATTTATAACCAGTATTGCGATTTTGATTCGATTTTCCTTTGCACTAACCCAAAGGATGTAACTCTGTGATGAAAGTTGGTGGGGACACTCAGGTGGTGGCTGATAACCTACAGTTACTCCAACAGAACGCTTTCATTAGGTTTTTGTATTTTCCCAAAAAATAGCTCAAATTTATTGAATGCTTTCCAATTATTGAAAACACAAGAGAACCATAATACACTGATATTTATACAGTTAGAGAGATGCCTTTTAGTGCATTACATATAAAGGGCCCCAAATAATGAATAACAGCTGATTCCAATGCCAAAATTTATATATCATGCATCTCTAGAAGTACAATCTCAGTTCCATCCAGAAAAATATGGATATGCAGCATTTTAATTACAGCATAGCATATTTCTGCTAAGATATATTTTATTGCATGTTGCATATCCTAGTAAATCTGTTTCACCTTTAAATCTGCAGCTCTCCCTACTTCTCTCTGTGCTCTGTTTAAAAAGATTTACGAACCTCTTTACTTATATAATGATGCCAGAAACAAATATTCAAGATACGTAGAAGCTCTGCAGTCTGATATTGTCTGTTCAATGAGAAAACATGATAATTTAAATCTATCTCTGGGAGTCATGGTCCTGAGAAGCCAAGCTTTTTTTAACTGGTAAAGAAAAAAAAACTATGTTTTCTCAAGCTTCTTGCGTTATAACATAACTTGTATAAACTCACAATCTGTTTTCATTTTTAGCTGAAAAAGCTCCGTATGTCTAACAAACAGATTTTTCGGTGGCATCTCGATTTTTTTTAACCAAGCCGTCTTTCAACTTTTACTTAAACATACATAGAACTAGCTGCCGGTTAATAATCACTGAGTGCTGTTATATGTCTCTCTTCAGCCACGTAGCTACTATGTATACAGCGAAGTGCGACTGCAAATCAGATGTCTCAAAGCGACAGATCTGATGATGTTACACCGAGAGGCGGGACATGTGAGCAGCGCAAGAGAGGGAGAAAAAAAACCCAGACTCAATACGCTCTGAATACAGTTAGCTGCACCCAACCTCTGTTAGCTTTGGCTAAAGTAAATGAGCGGAAAGGGGAAAAATAATATTAGTGGGGACTGTCCCCACCAGGCCTAGATGGTGGGGATATGTTCACACCAGTCCTTCAGAGAGTTACGCCTTTGCAATAACCCCAAGCTTGTAGATGTTTCACTTCAGTCTTTCAGTTTTTAAAATCTTGCTTACCCAGAGTCCATTGTTGCAGAATTTTACTGTGTGTTAAAAAGTGCTTTTTCCGACCTGCATGGATCTGTGAGCTAGCTGCAACTCTCTCTACCTTTCTCTGTGCCCCAAACCCACTTTAAGACTTTTACTGCCAACTAGAGGGGTAAAGTGAGAAATGTAATGTCTTACTACTTGTTAAGTATAGGGTGATTCAAAATTGAGAGACAATGCGATTTGGAAATTGTGTTTTGTTAAATTGCGATTATATTCCACGTGTAATTAACTGCCCGGCCCTATTCCTTACCTACTTCCTCAGCGTCAGGATCAGGACCAGGGACACTCAACTCCCCGGCATCAGATGTTGTCAAGGAGACGGATGAGAGGCTGCCGCAGGTTCCCCTGCAGGAGCACGTGTTTTCTGAGTGCTCCAGAGAGAGGATCGTAGGACTGCTGGCAGCCATGCTCCCATCAGCAAAGCCAGTATGTCAAGCTAAAGGCTTTTACAGGGTTTATATCCAGTTCATATGTAAGGGAGCTGACATAGAAATAACAGTAGATTGAGCTGATTTAAGTTTTCCTCCTGTGGATTAAATAATAGTAAGGATTTTTTTTAAGAATGATCCTCCTGGAAGCCCATTAAAAAAAAACATCACACATTTTATCATCAATAGTGATTATAACTGTTGTTTTTTTTTTTTTTACTATTATTTTTATTTTCCTTTTTGCTTTCGTTACTCAAATCTTTCCTCTTGTGACCCCAGGACAGCAGCCTCAGTCTGTCCAGCCTGAGCTCCATCCTGCCACACCTTTTCAGAGCAGTTATTTCCAACGCCGGCTCTCTGAACGAGACCTACCATCTCTCCCTCGGCCTCCTGGGTCAGCTGCTACTTCGAATCGCTCCGGCGGAAGCAGACGGCGCCGTCACAGAGGCGCTGGCGGACAAATACGAGCTGCTGACACAAGGAGACAGCGCTTGTTCAGACACTCAGGGCTGGAAGACCACCCAGCTGCTGTTCAGCCTCGGGGCGGTCTGTCTAGACAGGTAACTGTCCTCAAACACAGAGTTAAGGCGTGGAATCATTTTT